ATGTGACCATGCAATTTCCCTTTCACAATATCTTATTAAATCACATTCACTACTGTATTAACGGTGTTCGATACTAAAATGCTTCGGGTGAGGTAATGATAATAATGATAAACATCTTAAATATATAGTAATTACAGAGACCTTATGTTATTCATTTTAGTAGGTTTGGAAATACGCGCAGATGAGTTTTTTAAATGATTATTTTACTATTCGTAATAGAGTCAAAACAGAATTTTTTAATTAGTTCAGAAATTTACAGTTTATTAAAATATTTTTTCACTCGTCTCTACAATTGCAAAAGATTGTAAAAATTCTATTCCTTCAATCGTTATCTATTTTATATTATAAAATCATTCAAAACGCATGAATACTGTAAAACAATCGTATATTTCTTTGGTTCTTGTGAAACACGTATGTTTGTATCAGTGGTAAATAGAAATGCGTATACGCTTAAAAAATTTTTGTTTTTTATTTATCTAAAGTTTTTTTGGTTGTGATTGTGTCTCTTGCTATGACTACGTTCTAAACTTTACGAAGGCACATAGGAATTGTAAAATAATTAACGGGAGAAGGATTGACATTTGGATTCTTCATATATTGATCGAAGAAGTTACAAAGTAATTGATTTTTTAGAATGGAAGTTGGTAAACGTTTTATAGTATAGAAACGAATTCGGTAAACGTTTTATAGTGTAGAAAAGAATTGTGTAGCGCAAGGATCACGTGTTAAGATCGAGTGTTGGTGATTTTATTAGGATAGTGGAAGTAGCATAATTATATAAATCATCGTTTGAAAATGTATAAGTAATCAGCGCCAATTCTAGTGTTCGTAGAGCACAGACCATGGCGTAAATGTTATGCGTCAAGGGTTTAATACAGATGTAGGAAATTGTAAATAGAATGGTCGACATAAGGGCAATAAACATAAAAAAAACAAAGGATGTCGGTCCATAAATAAGACAGGTAGTATACAACAAGAAGAAAAAGTGAAAAGGATGAAAAAGAGACATAGATACTTCAAACACACTGTATATGTAATATCCGTTGCACCCAAATAATGAAAACGTTTCATGATTGGGGTGACGTTGCTGAAATTTAAATTCATAAAGAGATATAAAAAACGAACAGAATGACGCAACAATGATGGATATGGTGGAAATTTGTAAGAAGACAGGTAAATAAGATTCTCGCGTTTCTATATGAAAATAGGAGGGAATTAACAGCACCAGAGCTGGTAAAACGATTTGCATAAAATCATTGAAAGCTCGTTTCCATAAAGCTACATCACCACCTGCAGCTTTAGGAATGATAAAAAATAGGTATATAATCGGTAAGATGCGGTTATATATAAATTTCAAATTCTCAAATATATCTTCTCGTTCGTGAGTGCTCTTGGCAGGAGATATTTTGTTGACAGCATTTAACGTGTCTTGTGCATCCACAAATGAAAGATGCATAAAAAGTAAATGACACGCAACGATAGAAACGATGTTGTATGTTTTCATGATTGAAAGTTTTTGAAAGTGTATGTACTCAAAAGTACACTCTCAAGAAACGGCGACAGCGTGGATTAAATACGAAAATTAAAGTCTGTGCAACAAAGTCTTGTATCAAGGAAATTGACTTTTTAACGTTAACTGTACGCCAACATCATTTATTCTCGGAACTTTTTTATATTCTCACCAAAAATTTCTTCGCACTGTATTACATGAGCAACTATTTTTACATCATCCGAATTATTTGATCTGGAAGCAATTAAAGTTTTTGGACCTCGGGACTAATTTAGCGTGCATTCTTCTCTTTTTCAATTGCAAAACTTGTTTAAGGATGAACGTCAGGCTGTCATGCGAAAAAGCCGCATAAATAAGGGAATACTGTATTTAGCATGTCTAACCTTTTATGAAGGCAACCAATTTTATTTAAATATAATTCATTGTTTACTGATCAAATACATTGATTTCAGATTTCTTTTCGTTACTATTATTCAAAGGCTCTAATCACCATGACGTATTGTATGTAAAAGGAAAAAAATAGTGATGACATACTTATGTAGCGATGCGAATTATGTAAAAGGTAATAATCGACGACCCACATGAAAATGGTGATGACGTTACTATGGAGTAATGCTTATTATGTAAATAACCAAGATCTGTAAAAGTACTGAAACTCTTGGGCAAAACGGCTAAGGCAAAAATTTATTGTGTAATTTGTGATGATCATATTTGTAATAATATATTACGAAAATACGAGACGTTGCATATGGTTTGGTTTTTTTTCTGTATAATTAAACCAAAACTAGTATTTTTATAATTATTTAAATAATAACTTTATATTAAATTTTCATTTTTATTAAAAAAAAATTATTTGATTTAAAAATCATTTCTCGAAAATTTTGTTTAAAGCAAACCAATTTTAATATTTCTTATATTTTTTAATAAAAAAAGAAAAAAAGAAAAAAAAAAAAGTTAAAAAATTTTTATAAAAATTTTTAAACATGATGAAATTAATTAAATAAATTTATTTTTCATGTATCTGTAAAATTATAAATAAAAATATGTTTGTATATATACAGTATATATATTTGATCTCTAATCATGCTACCAGTTTTGATATTTATTAATCTAATTATAAATAACAATAATACAATATATGTATAATATAATGTTATATTAAAATCAAACTATTATATTTTACAAAATACTCATCAATAAATTATTTATAGACTTGTACATGATCCTTAAATTTTTAATATCAAGACTACTATATTACTTATATTATTTAAATATTTATTAATTATTTTACTATAAGAAAATATATTTGTTAAACTATTATTATATAATATTAATTATTTTAAACTTTTCAAATCTTATCTCTTTAAATATAATTGTAAGAATTGATAAAAGTTACTTTTTTATAAAACCAGATATTAAAACCTTAGTTTTAAAAAATCAAAATTAATCCATATTTAAATTGCTCTCTTAATATAAGCTTGTAATTTTAAAAGATAAAAAAAAATATTTTTTAAAAAAATAAAAATAATTAATAATTTATAATTAAAAGTTTGTTTTGACAAATAAAAATATTCTAAAGTAGAGCTTCTAACAATACTACTTTGATATCAGTTTGATACTTAAATTTATTATAAAATCATATAAATACAGTAGGTTATAACCTATATATTAAATTTACTATAGATCAGTACCATTTTGATATCAGTTCAATATCAATTTAATACTTTTTAAAACTCTGTTCTAAAGTCAATTTTTATTTATAAAAATAAATCTTTTATTATTATTTATAACCAAACCAATTATTTAATTTTTATTATTTTATTACTAATTATAAATATTAAAAAATATTTGTAATAAAATTTATATTAATCAGAATTATTACTTATAATATAATTTATATTCAAATAAATTTATTTAAATACTTTTTCCAAATAATTATTAATAGAAAAAGCTTTTTACTAAAATAAAATAAATTTTTTATTGATTTTTTTTAAAACATAATAGCCTGGTGAAGTTATAACATAATAGTAAATTACTGATATATCAATGTTAGTGTTATAGATTCAATTTCAAGTGATAATGACAGACTGTAGACCTATTTCAGTGAGCCAATTATTAATAAATAATAACCATTACTAAAGTATCACATGTACTATAAATACTCACTAATTAGTCCAGGCGCTAAGAGTCAAAAAAATTGGAAACAACATATAAAACCGATAAGTATTAGTTGTTTAATTACTAGTTATATACACTATAAAAGGCCATAACTAGAAGATAAACTCTCAAACTTTTAAAAATTTCAATAATATTTTATATTAATTAGTATATCTCAGAATACTACAAAACAACAATATTATTAACACTACCTTTACAATAATATAAACACAAAACTAAAAATAAAATAAAACAAAATAAAAGCACATAACCATAATTTTAATAATAATAAAGCAAACTGAATAGTCAAAAAAGTATATCATAAACCTGAAAACTATATCAATTTCAAATTAATTAATTATCAACAAATGAATTAAATACTATAATAAAAAGAACATATACTTAATAATACTATAATAAAAACTATCAAATATATAATCCATACAAAATATGAAAAATACTAAATTACAATATAAATACTCTAGATTAACATATAATTAATCAAATAGATTGGTTATTAACATTTAAATTCAAGCAACCATTATATCTAACATTAGGAACCACAAATCAACAAGGCTACAACACTAAAAATTTTCATCTTAAACTATAAAATTTAGAACTGTCCTCAAAAAACAAACTCTATAAATACTTCTTACAGTTTACTTAAATGACATACTGTATGTTCAAGATATAACAAAGTTACAAAGACCAATATACATATTATGATTTGCAAAAGCAATAAAACAAACATATTAAAAGCAATTATACAAATAATTAACAAAGAAATCACAGGCAAAGTAATAAAACCAATAGGTTCACAACTATATAAAAAATTAATTAATATATTCAAAGTTGATTTAAAGAAACAAAAAATCTTATTATAAAAAGATACTTAACTTATAAAATCATCTTCATAATTAAAGAATTCATATCCTTAATAGAACAAAAAGAAACAATCAAAAGCATTCTAAATAGAATGCTTAATAGCTTAAAAAAAATCTGGATGCAATATAATAAAATCTTTTTAAAATATGTTGAATAATGTAGAGTGTGGTATTTGATATGTATGTTTTTATTGAGTTTTTGAAAAGACATGATTGTAACAATTTTTCTGCTTTTACTGCGCCACATGCCATATGACCAGAAACTCCTGGGACATCCTGAAATACTCCAGAATACTGTAAAACATCCTGGAACTTCTTGAAATATTGAGGAACACCTCGGAACCTCCTGGAATATTATGAAGCTTTCTGAAATATTATTAATTATTTATTATTAATTATTGTGTTTATTATCTTTATGCTTATTTGGAAAACATGATGTTATTATTAAGTCATTAGTTTATCATTATTACATTAACAATTTTTAACATATAAAAAAATCAAATTTATTGTAACTTTATAATTAATATATATTGGTATCAAGTAGGTATTTATATACTAAAAGTATAATAAGATTATTTGAATTTTTTAAGATACTAAGTACTTTCTGAAAAGTATTTGTATTTTAATAATTAATATTAGTATTTGTTTCAGAGCAGTTTTTTTAATTTGATTTTTGATGTTGTCAAGGTGATAACAGTTGCTAAATATAGTTTCCAAATTTTGTACAATATTTTAAAAAAGTAATTTGAAATTTTTTTTTATAATAATGTTAAAATAAGTATTGAACTTTTTGAGAGCTATATTAAGTAGTGTTTTGCTTGTTAGATGAATTGTTTAAAGAAGATAGGTCTTGTTTGAATTAATTTTTTTTTTAAGAATGTTGAGAACAATAAAGGCCTCAAATTTGTTTCTTTTTTTCTCAAAGTGAAAAGACAATAATAACAAGAGAAGATATAATCTAAATTTTCTGAATGAGCTTCACAGCAGGACATAAATTATCCTTATAGAGTAGAGATATCTCTTGTGAAGTTTATCTTTAGTGAAAAGCTAATTTGCTAGGATTTTAGTTTTAAAGATAGCAAATAAACAGAAGTTTATTTTGTTAATGTCTTTGAGTTTTTTGTTGAATTTGATAATAATGTCCAATTCAAGAAGACTTTTGAATTTGTTTATAACAGTTTTACTTAATAGAATATTAAAAGGATTGATATAATAGTTTATATATTTGATCTATTGTGTGATATTAATTGTATAATTAAGATTAATTAATAAGAATATGTTGCAGTAGTTGAATAAAAGATGGAAATATATGTTGAAGTGTTTTAAGAAACAGTTGAGGAAAATTGCTTTTTGTTAAAAATTCAGATCAAGATAATTTGTTTTGTTTTGAGCTAAGTATTGCTATTTTAATAAGACTGTTATATAAATATTTTATTTGGCAATTAATATATTTAGATAAGTTAATGTTTAATTTATATAGAGAAAAACAAGTAATTTTAGATAGTTAATAAGCTTTTAAACAGAGTAAAACAAAAACTGACTAAAAAAAGTGAAAATAATTAAGATTTATATTACATATAGAAAGTATATAAGAGCTGTAAGTAGTAATTATATTATTATTTAAATATAGACTGTGTAGTTAATTGGTGATGGAGAAGATAGTTGTTAAGGGATAGCAATAATTGAAATATAAAGAGATTGAAAACAAATATTATTTATAAGTTCTTACAGATTATTAATGATTAGTAGATACTATTTCTTTTTGCTGATTATATAGATTAAAGTAAATTGAAGCCAAAATAACAGCAACAGACTCAGTTTGCCACTTACAAACTCTAACCATCAACAGAAAGTCAAACCTCGAAGGCCTAGCATGTGGAATAACAACTCTCAGAATCCAGCTCTCAAAAAAAGCATG